GCTGGAAAAATTTCAACCAATCAAATTCGCTAACCGCTCCTATCGGCTAAATGCCTTTCTCGCAAAAATCGAAGTTAATATTAACAGAAAATGATAATATAATAAATATACTATATGCAAATATAATAGATGCAGGTATGATAAATTTAGTTATTTGTTTTTCCATTTGTTGAAATCGGTATCCTAGAAATATTAAAATTGTTCCAATCCGCCTTCGATCCGGCATTAATTTCATTCATCTACTTATTATATAATTGGTCAATATTAGCACTAATGGCCTGGTTTTATTTGCTTACTTTGTGATTTCCCCGAGATTTTTGAATACTCAATTCTGATTGGCTGAAAATAAGCCAAAATAAATTTCAAGCATTCGGTCTCTCCAGCATGAGGGACGCCACCGCATGCCATGCTATGTTTTCTTGTATCGTAAGTGGCCCTACCTAAAATACTTCTCAGTCTAGAAAGAAACCGTTTTCAAAATTGCCTTCTCGTAGTAAACTTGACAACGACTGCAGTGAGATGAGCAAAACGTTTTTCAAAAAACTGTCTAAATAAGGCTTTTTTCCTTTCCTCCACCTGCAAAGTTTTATAAATAAAAAGTTTGTTCACTTTGCTCGATTGCTATGCAAATGGACATGCAGACTAATTAGGCCACGGCAACACTTTTTGATCGTCTTACCGAACCTCGTAAAACCACTCTCGTTATACCACAAAATCCATGTTGGTGTGAAGTGGGGGGGGGGGGGGGGGAGGGGGGAGGGAGGAGATTAAAGAGCCCTAAGTTATTGTGAACTTGCATTTTCAATAAAAAAACAATTTGTTCATGCATATCACTTTTTAACACGATCTGTTTAATTATGATCTACAACAGCGAGAGTCATTTTAGATTGCTTTGTTGAAAACATATTTCTGTTAGTCTAAGTGCTAAAATTGGTAAAAACCTTCTCCTACTCAAATTCAGTTACCTTAAAGAAACGTATGCGTTTAATCGACATTTTGCAATGAATTCCTGTCAGTCGTGAGTGGGAAAGTTATGAAAAATTAGATTTCGGAATTTTTTGCGCGATAAGTTGGTTACGCCCTTATTTATGTTGAAAAAATCTATTGCCTTCGGAAAAATCAAGTTTCGACTTCTCTCAAAAACTACCCTGCCAAATCTGAGAGTGAGAGTTCAGTCGATGAAACAGGACGCGAGAGTTTTCATACAGAATTTTCAATTTTCTTTGATTTTCTGTCAGTCGTTCTGTTTTTTTTTTCTAATTGCCTGTGATACGAAGTTCAGCGTCGTCTCTGTGTAAAAAAAAATGTCCAGAAAAACCGGTATGATGTTTTTGAGATTTAGTCTGATTTCGAGCTAATAATGCAATTATTATAGACTATTATAGTAATTTTAAATCAAGTTGAGACGTGAAAATTTCTAATCCAGTAAAATTAGTTTCGAATTTTTTATAGCGCCTTTTTGCGAACAAAATTTTGAAAATATTTAAAAATTGGAAGTTTTTTTTGGTAGACCTGACTTTTTTGTTTCTTCTATGAAGAAATTTGTTGTCAAATGTACCTAATTTATTTTTACTTGCGAAGTTCTAGACTTCAGTTCAGATTCTCTCATCAACCCACGAACGAAAAACGACGCATTTTGATAAAAAACTTTGTTTTGTTTTTATGTTCGGAACTTTCTGTGCTACTTGCACTGCAACCGACTATCCTTTGTTTGGATTGTTTTCATCTTGCTCTATTGCGAAGCAAATATGAAAAATTGTGATTATAGATGTTCTGTATATTTCTGATTTTCCCAACGCAATCAAATAAAAAATCTTTTGAAATAATGATTGATGCTTTTTTCTTCTTAATGGTCAGAGAAGCGTAGGTTGCGATATAATACGAGGCTACTCATTTTTCAAACCCCGTTTACTGACGTTTTTACACAAGTTGTGATTCGTGATTGTATCCAGCATGGATTTTATCCGCCTTATTGAAGCGATTTTATTGACTGTACATATTATACCAGCATGTAATCAGCTAGGCTCTGAGGCGTAGTGGCTTACGCCCAGCCTTTGTAAGTTATTGTACGGCAGAAATCAACTAAGCATGCTGACAGATTTTTAAGTTTGAGACTCGTGGAAGCTTTTTTGGAATCTTCAAATGATTACTGGAGGCATTTTATAGATAATTCTTCATTATGCATTCATTGTAGCATGCTTTGCGGTAAATGTTGACTACTCAATTCTTAATGTTCGACTTCCTTTCTCGTTCATTAGTGACAGTTACTTGTTATTTTTTCCACTTCGAGCAGGATATTATACAATTATCTTTAGATTTTCACAAATACGGATATTCGGATGCCAATGGTTGGATATCAACCATGATATATCAATTCATGATATCTCTCTACTTTAGTTAAACAATGACTGCATTAGGTTGAGCTTGAGCCTTTTACCCTTATATTGATTTTTATTAGCTAGAAATCAAAACATTTTTTCTCAACACGAGAACAATTTTTTCTAACACGAGAAGTTTTTGCGAGAGATTTTTAAAATGACTGAAAGGTTATCAATTCAAGTTTATTCACCGGTTAATAACTTAATCTGAACTTTAAACTTCTTTGAATTGAACTTATGAAAATCAAGCTCTCCTGCATTGCCTTGTTAAGAAATATTAAGTACATTAGCTATATCAGTGTTTTTTTCTTGCTTAGCCTATAATTTTTAGGCTCCTTAGAGAGCGTCTGACAAAAATTTGTCGTCCTTAAAGATGATTTTTTTTTCAAATTCGTGTAATTTTAAGCTAGTATAGAGCCCTATTTTTTGATTTTTCTACGCATAAAATCTTTAAAAATCAGTTTAATTTTAGTCACAATTGCTGCTTTAAAATCTAAGATGAGCGGTTTTGACCTTTTTCATTCTGAAAAGTTGAAAGCGCTTATATTTATCATTCTATCATTTTGATCACTTTGGCAAAAAAACCATAGTTATATTCTAAAATCAGTTTATGTTCTGAAACATTAAAGCCGATAACATGAAATGAGTAACAGTCATTCAAAAAATATAAGAACGTCAGTAATTCAAAAAGAACATATCGATTTTGATCTTGTTATTATAAATCTACAAGCAAGGGCCGAAGATGTAAGTAAGTGCTTCTCGAGTTGACTTGGCCTCGTGAAAATGGTCTTTTCAGCCTTTCAATTCACTATCTTGTCTACAAACGAGCAAACATATCGATTGATAACGCATTATAATTTAGGTTTGGTAAAATCATCAAAGATGTTTTGAAGAGAAAAAGTTCAATGGGTATGTCTATAGCTGAGCGATCATTCTGATCGGAAAATTTATTTCTGGTTTCATGTCAATGGTTTTTCATTATGCGTTTCTGGTTTCATGTCAATGATTTTTTACCGGCATTTTTTGGGTTAAAAGTCAATTAAATAAGAAACGAATTTTTGGTAGGTTATTCAATAGTTGAATAGAACTAAAATTTGACCGTGGCTTAATGGGTTGACCGTGGTTTCATGTTTTAATGGGTTCAGGCTACAGTTTTCAAATTAATCAAATTTCCGGTTTCGTGTCAATGATTTTTTAGGCAATTTTTCGGCAAAAATTCAATATTAGCGAGTAAGTAGGCCATTTTGCAGGATATCCGCCAGCCGAGTAGAATTGAATTTTTACTGCGAATTAAAATGTTTTTATACTTGTGTGGAATTATTGATTACACTTTTTTCGCCTTTTTTATCAAGTCCAATTTATATTTTTCCTCTATTTTATGAGCGATTTGTGCATCAATGACATGTTTGTATTCATTATGGTTTAAATGTTTTTATGAAATTCTGGCGCTGCATTCGCGGAAGCTTGGAAATGGTCACAAATGGCTGCTGTTTTTGTGACAGTTTTTCTCTTTCATTTTTTCGGTTGCTTCAATTTTTAGGTTTAACTAGGTTCTTATTTTAGTTTTCTTATTCCTTTTTTGAAAATTCTTGAGCTGTAGTGATGCCTTCAATTGAGTAAATAATCATTTTCGGTGATATTGAATATGTTAGTTTTTTTTTAGCAGTTTTAGTTTTTTTATTTGAACTTGTGTCAGTGTTTTGAGTCTAGTTAACTGCAACTATCTTGAAGTGTATTTCTTTGCCTGACAATTTTTTTTCGAGAGATTTTGTTAAGCATTCATGAGCATCCATTTTTGGTTGATCAACCCGTAACTTCTTTTGATGGAGCATTCGGTGCCAATATATGCTAAATTTGAATGGCGGAAAACCCTCGCAAAACACTATAAGGTCCGTATAGTGTTTTGCGAGGGTATTAACACATTTCGCATTAACACATGAAATTATTGGCTTATTTCGCCCCACACACATTTCGCCCCTCAAATCATAAATTGGCGATTAGTTCCTTGTGTAATAAGTTAGAGGTGAAATAATGTGTGAAATTGTGAAGGGCGAAAAGGGTCACTAAAATTAAGAGGGGCGAAATGTGTTTGTGTGTGTAAGGAGAAATGTGCTACATTCTTTTGCGAGAGCTCGTTACATTAATATGGTCGACCTCAAAAAGGGGCGCAAATTTTTCAAAATGTTTTATGAAAATTCGCCCTTTGTCCAGAGGAAATCCTAGATCCGCACCTGCTCTTGGGTGTTTGATTTTAAAGCGCCAGATTCCGTATTGAGCTTCTGGAACTTAAGGTTTTTCGGATCTTATCCTGAGTTAAAGAGTATAATCACTATTGTTGCAAATATTAATGCTTAGCTTATGCTTTTTGAAAACCAGGATTGTTTTTAATCTTTCTATTTTTCGAGAAGACCCATTCTTTGAGGGTAACCTTTTATCCAGTGACTTTGCTCTCATTGGATATGCTTTGTTTTAAATTGTGAAAATATGAATTGTAAATTCAGGTAAGGTTGATTGCGTGATAAAATGAAACCCAGATTGTGTATTTCATCCGCTTTCCTGATTTCTTAGCAAGTGCCAGAAATATCCCAATGGTAAAATGTAGTTATTTTAAAACATAATCCGGATCATTATTCGCAAGAGAGCCATTGGCTTAAAATATTCCTCTTTCCACTGCCAACTAGTTCTTCATGTTTGTTGTCGCCGTGAACAGTCCCATATTTATTCAGTTTTCTTTATTTTTCTATTTCACTGCTTTCCATTGAAAACTTTGCTACGTTTATTGTCGTTTTTCAACTGGTGCAAAAAAACTCAAAAGATATAAATATCAAGCTTTTTTCTGAATTTTTGGTTGCCTACAATCAATCATATTCATCATTTTAGCAAAAAAAAAAACAAAGTATACATTTTAAAATCAGCTTGTGTTCTGAAACATTAAAGCCGGTATTTTCAAATGACAGCCAGTCATTCAAAAAAAATGAGAGCGTCAGTCGTTCAAAAAGAACATATCGATTTCGATCTTGTTATTAAAAATCTTCAAGCACCGGCATAAGATGTAAATAATTGCTTCTTGAGTTCACTTGGCCTAGTAAAAATTGTCATTTATGCCTTTCAATTGACTTTCTTGTCTACAAACGAGCAAACAGATCGATTGATAACGCATTATAATTTATAATTGGTAAATTCATCAAAGTTGTTTCAAAGAGAAAAATTTCAATAGGTGTTTGTATAGCTGATCGATCATTCTTATTGGAAATTTTATCGGAAAATAGGGGCACTTGAATTGCTTTGACTGTGGCAGTGCCCTGATATTAAAATGCCATCTGACATTTTGTGAACTACACGTGCATGGCACTGACCCGTCAAAATCCTTTTATTTAATCAATTTTGCCGCCAGTCAAATTATATTAAAAATCAATCACTTAGATTTATTTCATCCCAGCCTATGCCTGCATCTGCAAATCGCTGATGGAAAAGTCCAGCAGTCGGGAAAACTTTATCGGGAAAGCAGTTGCATGTCATTATTTTTCAATCTTAAAGGTGTCTTAGCTTCTCTGTCTCACAAAATTGAGTCACTTAAAATCGAAATCTAAGCCTTCGTTATTCTTCATCGATTAAGTTAACCGAAAGTAAATTGAAGAGATTTGTAATTCAATTCCACTTAATTCGTTTTATATCCTTTATCATGCTCACAACGTCGTCAGTTCATGGCAATCTTAGCACCTAAATTGCTTTTCTGCTGTCAGAAGTAGATCGATGATTGTCTCCCAGTTAAAAAGTGATGTGCTTCGTTCGAAGTTACTATCTATTTTTCTTACCAGCTAATTAATCTTCTGTTTTGTCTTTTCTAATTTTATTACAAACGTTGACAAATGGCAGGAGTTGAGTTGAACCAGCCGAATTCTAAAGTGTCTTGTATTTCACGCATAATAGAAACATTTCTTCCAAGATGCCTAGTCATAGGTCACGTGTCGATGTTGATCGTACGGGCTACGACCCTGGGAAAGCCACTGTTTATGGTGTTACCTCTCGCGCTGTTTTCTTTGTTTTTGATACCTGAAGCTATTTTTACCTACGTTAAAACTAAAGCCACTGAGTGGAAATGGTTAGTCCTTTTTTAAACTATCTGTAGAAAAAGAAAAAACTTCTGATTTCAGTGTGATTTTAGTGATTCTGTCTTGCGCATTCTAACGCAACTGGATTTGGGTTAAACCTGTGATTTTCAGGTTGAATTTCATTGCTCAATTGCCCTCCTATTAGCCAGGATATTGCAACCGGGTACTATACTTTTTCCCGTTAAAATTTTGTTCTCAGGGTTCATCCCCTAGTAGGAATGTTTGCATTTTAAATAGCACTTGTATTCAAAATCATTTATATTTTGGTTGTAAATTTACCAACAAGTTTCCAGTTTTTTTTTCAAACTTTTTTCATGCAAAATCAGGTAAAAAGATAAATCATCGTAATCAGTCGAGTAAAATATCATTTTCAAGCCTTTCCAGTCGTGATTTGATCATTTGATCGTTTTTGAAAAGTTTCTTAAAAGTTTTTTCTATGTTGAGAAAAAATGCTTCCGATCGAAAAAAGCGAGCGAGCAGGCTTTTAGTAAGAAGATAAATTGAATCTTTTCTTAAGCCAAGAAAATTAAGTTTTACTCCAGTAATATTCGTTTTCGAGGCTTCTTTTAGCCCGTACTAGGAATTGGAAGTTATGAAAAAACAAAAAAGGATGTTTTTTTATTTTTCTATTCTTTTTTTTTGAAGAAATGTGTTGGTGAATATACCTAATTTTTAGATCAATCGTGAAATTCCCCCCTGATCGATTAAGGGGGTATAAAATACTGTTTTTTTTTTACTTGAGGGCAAATTATATTCATCTAATTAATCAAAAAATTTACTAAAAAAACTTTGGTATTAGTAGAACAAAATTTTTGTTAATTAACGGTATAAGTAGGTATTCCTTTTGAAAACTTTTCTCGAGCAGTCTATTCTGCGCTCTTGCTTGAAATGAATATTTTATACAAAATTAATACGTGACTAGGGAAAGTTTCTACGGTAGGTCACTTAGAGGGGGGGCGGAGATTGTACGGTTGATCCTAAGTTTTCAGCTATTATTGGCCATGCCCAATTTTTACGCTTTTTTTCAGATCTTTTCACACCACTAACTAGTTGAAAAAAAATTTAGCTTTTTTATTGATGTGTTCGAAAGTTTGTGCTGTTTGCACAGCGTGCACCTATTTCTGCTTACGTCATTTTGAATTAAATGTCATATTGCTTCGGTAGCGTTTGTTTTCATGCTGAGCGAGACTTAAAAACTCGGGTTTCAATTTTTAGTAGCCCAATTTTTTAAGATTTTCGTCACAACAGGTGTTTAACCAATTGTTTTCAGCTTAGATACCACTTCTGTAGCTTGGGTTAAATGCTGAAAATGATTGTTTTTCAACGTGTTTCTTATAAAAATTAGGAGAAATTATGTACAAGTTTTTATACTTTTAGTTTTTTTCTTTAAAAAAGTTGACCGAGTCTCATTTTCTCAGTTAGCTTGCCCATTTTTTCAGTTAGCTTGCCATGCGTTTTTTTGAAATTTTTTATACGATACTGAATGAGTTTGTTTTTTTATAAACTTTGCTCAAAATTATGAAAAAAATGTTTTAGTTTCTTAATTTTTGTTTGTGCTGTTCGGTCTTGATTTCTCCATTTTTTTCCATTTCTCCATTTTTTCTCATCTCCATTTTTTTAATTTCAATTTCATGATGCTGGTTAATAAGAAATCATCACTCATTAAATTCCAGCCTGTTTGTTTTTTCCATCGTTTAGTATGATAGTTTGTGTTTAAATTTGACGTGATAGTTTCGTAGTGATTTTCGTAATTGGAAATCATATGTTTCATTGAAGTAAAAATCGATTGATTTCGGTTTCAAAGCTTTTTGTTTCGGGTGGCAAATTTTTCTTCAATTAGCTAAAGTTCGCATTTTTTGCCAATTCTTGGGAATTTATTGGAAGTTTGTTCTGCGCTAGCTTGCAGTGCAAATCTCCGCACGCACGAAGATAAATAAACCAAATATATAATTTAAGAAAATGAGAAAAAATTGAGATTCGTAAATTTAAAGAGCTGTAACGCTGTAGAATTGTTTTTATTTACTGCAGTATGATTACAATATTCATGGATTTTGTCTTTAAACACTGGTTGATTATACAGGCAAGTGAATTGTAATAGTACGAATACTGTTTTTAAACATAAGTAGCAAATCTTGGTGCCATTTTTTCTGAGCATGTGCTTTGACTTCTATAGTAATAAGTTGACAGAGTTGATGCGGCTTCAGTTTATCAAATGAACCAAAAATTGTTTTTGGTTGCAAACAACAATACAATAATAGAACTAAGTTACTCTAAATCTCTAAGAGTCAGTTGCTTTTGAGACTAAGAAAAGCAGAGTCAGAGCGCGAAAACAAGGAATCAAAAGAATTGAATGAGCTTAAGGTTATTGCAGTTGCGAGAGCACGTGTCTTGTAATCGTTAACTACACTTTTTGCCCCTTAAACACATTTCTTACTTAATTGAAAATTGATTTTGTGTTATTACCGAACCTTAGCAACTTCCAGGCCCCATCACACCTGGGCTGGAGGTAATGTATTTGCATTTGTGACTTATAGCCAGGGTTCTAGTCCCGGCTGGACCTTATTTTTTTCTGTGTCTGAAATTGATTTTTTTTTGGGAAAAAATGATTAGTCGAACTATAGATTGTCGGCTCAAGTTTTGTCGGTTTTGTTGCCATGCCACACTTTTTTGCACTGTGAACAGTTTTCATTGTAGCCTCAAGTGTCGTCGATTAATTCCTATTTTTAAAAAAATAAATATACGTATTTGATATTTTCCGTTTCGGTTTTTTTTCTGTTGTCTGTTTTTTTTTCTGAGATTGAATTTTTGTATTTCAAAAAATTTGTTGATTGTTCAAGTTTTTTTTTCGATTTAATTATTTCCATCTCACTCACTATTTGATAGCTTGCAATTGCAATGCTGCGATTTTGTTGTATCGCAAGTGATGTGAAGCTACCTTTGTCGGTTTGTCATAATATGTAATTAGGAGTAATGAACCTAGTCAGTACTCTTATAAAGGTCTTGGTAATTTTTTTCATGAAAAACCTTTAAATTTGTTCATGTCTCAAATTTACTTTTTCGAGGTTTGACTTTTGATCTTTCTGTAGGTTAAGTTCATTTCCTTTATTAAAACATAAATCAACTCCACTATCGAACGGCAAAAATGTGAAGGTCGCGTGTAAAAATGTGGTCGACTTCTTAGTTCGAAAATGGAATTTAATTATCAGGTTACACTGCGAAATAGAAATTTTTACGTATTGATCCAGTTTTCCCAAATTAGGTTAATTTTGTCCTATGTTATATAAATCTAAAAAGGTCAATTGTTCCTATAGTTGCAAGGTTGTAAGATTTTTAAGAGAATGCATTTTTTCTTAAAATTTTCGCAAATTAAAGTTTTTTTCTTAAATAAAACGATTCAGTTTTTTTTGTTGCCTAGTGTTCATTACTATTTTCCAACTATCAGTTGCCTACGTTTTTTGTTGGCTTGGTTGTCACATCCTGTAATTTTCTTCTGCTTTAGGCAGCTTTCATTGTAGCTCTAAGTTTTTGTGATTTACTCTTTTCATTTGTAATTTTAATAACCTTGGCATCTTATATTTTCCTTTTTTCTCGCTTTAATTTTTTTTAGCCCTTAATAGTTTCAGTTTTTAATTGATCGGCATAATAATCAAATTTTACATTATTTGAAGAGACATCCATTTCCTACGCTTCTTTTCCCGGATATACAAAAGGGTAAAAGGTAAGAATTACAGAACTTCATAAGTTTTTCATGTCAGCAATTTTGTTTTCGACTCAATGGAGTGCACAAGGTTTGTCGGCGTAGTTTCCAATCGATAAAACTTTCTAATTATTTATTTCATGTGGTGATTTCTGGGCGTGTTTATCTCAAAAGGAGCATTATTCGAGACAACGTCAAGTTGAGCATTTTGTTAATAGTTCTTTCGACATTTGTTCGAGTGGCTTCGGTTTCCTTTTTGGTCTGCTAGCTTTTGTTTACTATGTTTGAGTAGTATCGCAAATGGTGTGAAGTTTTGCTTCGCCTCTGTATATGAAAACTTATTTTAGCGTCATTTGAGCTGCCATGCATAATTCCGAAAATCTTGTGAAAAAATGGCCTGCATATTCTCACAAGATTTTATACACTGCTTTAATACACCGCGGGTTTTAAGCAGCCTAGTTTGCAGAGCAGCGTAGTGTATTACCTTCCTTTTTCCGACCCAAATCGCAAATAACAGTGTTCATTAAAAGTGTTCACTTATTGGTGGCTCTTTCGCTATAATCACGATCTGTAGCATTGGAAATTTCATAGCATCAGTTCTCTGCTTTATCTTTGGCTATTGTTTGAGATATATCAAGCGTCCGTGGCTGAGTGGTTAGTGCGTGAGACTCTTAATCTCTAGGTTGCAAATTGAATCCGATACGTAGCGAAATTTTTACTAATTCGAGGCTTACTTCTATTTTTTCTTCTTACACTTTTTAAGGCTACTTTTTGTCGTTTTCTTGCTAGTGTTTGCAAAGTAAAGCTTCGCCTCTGTGTGACGAAGTTAGAACAAAGCGCGATTAGCCGGTTTTTCTCATTGGAACCGCAATTACCTTACGTGACTAAAAATTTCTATGGATTAATTATATTGTTGGCTGTAGTGGTTAGGTTAGCGTTCCGCTCCCATCTCAGTTTTTTTTGCAATTTTTACGGTGGTCAGAGCATTCTGTGTTACTTGCTCAACAAATTATAATCCTATAAATTTAATTTCATCTGAAGCTCGCTTCGAATTGATTTACGAAATTAAGGGAAAATCAGACTCCTCATTATTAAAAATTGACATGGAGCTGAAGGAGCTTGACTTAGTTTCAAAAGCAGTTTCTAAGATTGAACTTTTACTCTGATAATGAAAATATTTAATCTTCAAATTCTCAAATGGAGTTGATTTTATGGAAAGTAGAGTGAGTTATGAAAAAAGCAAATTTTAGGTGACGTTTTTAGTTTTTTGGCTTTGTTGAAAGGATTAACGCG